TATTTTTCAAATATTATATTTCAGATGTAGAGAGAATTAAAATGATTTTAGTGTGATAATTAAATCTGTAGGTGTAAACTTATATTAAATGAATGACATTTTTAAAATTTTATATTTTTATTTTAAAAAGTAATTTTGTAATATATTATCATTAAATTATATATATATATATATATATATTCTTGTAGCAAATTGTTTTGTAATTTAGGATGGTGGACTATTAATAAGTAATAACCTACGCTTAGTGAAGTAAACTTAACTCCAAAGTTAGCAAAATTCTCAACAGTTGTCATATTTCTGTGTCCATTTAGCTCAAAAGAAACGTGATGGACATGCAATCAGCTGTCCCGCAAAAGTAAATTCACACACACACACACACACACACACACACACACACCAAATCATAATATAAAATATTTTTTAAAAGTCTTATTTAATTTAAAATAAGAATATTAAGTAACTTTTATAATTATTTTTTGAACTACATTCCTACTTTATTTATTACTTTTTTTAAAAAAAATACATTAAAATTTTAATTATCATTATCATGATATTTATATAGGATATTCAATCAAAGTATAATTAAAAAATATAATTTTTTAAGAAATTAATATTTTGATTATTAACATTTTTTATAGCTGTAAATTAGTTATTCATGTCTTATGTTTTAGTTCGAAGGACCTCCAATCTTATTACAGGATATTTTCTAAAAGAGTTTTTGTATTTTTAATATAAGATACTTGATAGAATGTTAATTATATTTTTTAATATTATTTTTATTTAAAATTATTTATCATAAGAGAGAATGTGACATAAATTTAAAATATTTTTCATTTAAGTAGAAGTAAAATTAAAAATTTATTTTATTTTTAGATAAAGTTAATATTCCAACTACCTCTTCTTGATTTATGTAAAATGGTTGAAGATGACTTATAATAAAAAGAAAAGAAAATACATATTGTGGCAAGATTTCATTATTAATGGTGTTTGCTCAATTAATTGCGATGTTGTTTAATTTATTTAAAGCTAATCCATCCCCTCTCAAGTAGCAATGGTTCAGTAATAAAGTGAAGTAGACACCCATGCGTTCCTTATTTAAACTACATTTTGTGCCCAAATACGATCCACATGATTGTTTGTCTTTTGCTTTATACAAGCTTTATTCTTAGAAAATGGCCAATACTCTCCCTCTCTCCCTCACACACATTATATTCCTTGTCTTCATGTTTCTCTCTTTTTGATTGGTTTGGAGCCACCACACCAAATTAACTTTATTGACGGCCCCATCACTTTATTGTTTAGCAAAATTATGAAGCGACAAGCCAAGTATATGGGTGTGGGGAATCTAGAATGCCACAAACCCCATGCCCTAAGAAAAGGAATTCACCAACACTTGAAAATCTTCCCCAGCTGTCAAAACTACTCCTCATGGACCATCGTATATGTAATACTACCCTCCTCAACTCTAAACGATTTACTTATTTTATGATTTAATTCGTGAATTTTATTTTTAGTATATGAAGATAAACTTAAATTTAAAATAGTAGTTAGATTTTGAGTTGAATTTTAAATGCTTATTTAACCCAAAATAAAGATATATATTAACATACTTTCTTGAAAAAATATATATCTTTAATTGAAAAATAGTATTATTTTTAAATTATTCTAGCCAGATTCAGATTTCCATAGATTTTTTTTTCTTTTTTACTAAAGACAAGATCATACATCAGATATGATATGAGATCTTGGAGGAGAAAACATACTTGAATTGATACACCGGTTGGGTTACCAGGTTACTGTGCAGAAACAAAGTTATAATAGAACTTGAGTTAGAAACATACGGCAAATGTACTTGCAAAGAAGAAGAGCGACTGAGAAAAATACAAGAGAGTATACATCTCGAGCCAATGACCTCAAGCATATTACACTTACGGATCCAAACCTTCATCATATTTCTGATTTAGTCCCACTGCTTATATATTAAGACCAATACACTGAGAGTGAATAACCCAACATTAGATATATATCATATAATAACGGTTTAAGTGTTAATTCATGTGATATTCTGTCCAAACTCCAGACATTAGCATCACGTGATCATTTTCCTCTCTTGCTTTTGGGTACAGCAGCAGCATGTGATTTTAATGTATGCGCGTTCAATTTCTATTCCTCCCTGACAACTCTTAAATTAAAACGCTGATGATTCCCTTAAAAAAAAAATCTTATTAAATCTATGCTAAGATTTTTGTCCTGCTGGTAACAGACTTGAGAAAGAGTCTCAAAACAGATTTAATAATAAAGAGGTCAACTTTTTTTGTGGAGAAAACAAAGCTTTATAAACAAAAAAAAAAATCAGACCTTTTGAAAAAGAAGCAACTTTTTGCGGGCATTATTACTCACTAGCATTACTCATTTAAAAAGCAATAGGAGGAGGACAAGCGTCGTAGGAAATGTCAAAAGGTGGCTTAACTAAACTCATTTTAATTACACCATCCCTGCCTGTTCTTTCCATTTCTCCAAAATTGCCCGTCAACCTCCTCCATGACCATTTATTATCAATCAGCCCGCCCATAAGCCACTAGTACTCTTACAGGTAAGTCCTAGCAATTCATTGACTCAATAAGCTCAAGGCGCTTTAACTTAATTTAATTTTGGATCTTCACTGCGTAAATTTTAGTTTCATTAAATTCCCCACTTAGTTCAGCTATTTTGTTGTTGCCCTGACCCATGGGTATTACTCTCCCCCTTCCAAATATAAAACATGTATTTTTAAAATTTTCACATCTATGGAAATTAAATTTGGCAAGAAGGGTTAGTATTTCTAGATATGATAAATCAAAATTTAAATTCTTATTAAGAGAGGTGCTCAAATTTAGTATCAAAAAATAATTACCTCCAATAAGAAGACATTTGTAAGCAAAAAAAAAAAAAATCATACTCCAATATATGAAGGATTTTACGATTTTTAAGAAGGAATGAATTAATATAATTTTTACTCAAATGCTTTAATGAAAATTTATTAAAATTAATTTTAGAATTTTCCCTCGGCAACATTTGATTAATTGTCAGTATTAAATGAGGGTAAACTTAGAAGAAAATTTTAAATTTTAACTACCTTAGTTATTATTTTTAATTTATGTATTTTAATTAAAAACACCTTATATTTAAAATGAAGGCATACCACTATCATCCATCAATTAGAACAACCGAAATTTTTTAAATTTGCTCATCATCTTTTTATTGCTCATATATTGAAGGCAATCACATCTAAAGTACAGTCGATCATTGAATCTTCTCATTTAATTATGTTGAAATATGTGCAAGTGTTTAATATAATTGTATTAAATAAATTAGCTGAATTGTTATATTGAAAGATGATGAAAGAAGATAAATATTATTACGTCCTATTGTTTTGAAATTTTAACAAGATTTATAATATTCCTCTGATTCTATTAATATTTATTTGATACTATTTATTGGGTATTCAATTATTATTATGTCTATTTTTCTCTGCTTGTCATTATTAAATGTTGAGAAGGTTATTAAATATTAAATTATTTTATTTTTACAGTATATATATTTAATAAAAATAAAATTAGATTTTTTTTTGAAATTTTAAACAAACTTAATAAGATTTAAATTTTTTACTGATTTCAATAAAAATATAAAAATGATTCATAAATATTAAGTAAATTTTACCCAAAAAGGAATGGACAAATATTTGTTCCTATAATTTTAGGGATAGTTTCGCTTAAGTATCATGGAAGAGAGATACATTTACCCGTGAGATTCAAAAAAAAAAAAATTCAAAAATTCTCTACAAGATTTCAAGACTCAACATAAATAAAATGGGTAGTTAAAAAAAAAATTGATACCTTTTTTGCAAAATTAACAAGTATCTAGTTATTATATAACTTTACTTGTAAATTTTTTTACAATATTTGTTAAATAATTAATTAGTTAATTCTGTGATTCCATAATCTTAAAAATGTTGCTTATTAATTTCATAAGTTTTCTTATTAATTTGTCACCATGACTTGTTAACTACCCAACTTGACTTATAAATCATTTATAATATTTGTTTACTCAATTTGATTGAAAAACATTATTATTAATTGTTAATTTGCTTACTTCATTTGTTAATTTACTGAAATTAATTGTAAATTATCTGACTTTACTTGTCAATAATCATACTAATATCAAACGTTAATTATTCAAGTTTTACTTACTAATTTACTAATATCAGTTGTAAATTATATGATTTGTCAATAATCATATTGGTTCAATCATCTTATCCTAAATGCAAAATTATTAGTTATTGATTCTCTAACTTTACTCATCCATTTACTAATATCAATTATCAATCATTTTTTCTTTCTTTTACAAAAAGGTATTTTGATTTTTTAGCCCCTCATTTTATTTTAATTTAATCTATAAATCTTGTAGAGAATTTTCAAATTTTTTTGAAAACCAACAGATAAATATCTCTCTACCTTCATCTTAAATTGAAATTCTTCCATAATTTTAAAAATGCACTCCCTCTTATTCAAAATATAAAATATTTTTAATTATAATTTGAATATTAATAAAATTTAGTTATATCCTTATTTTTAATTATAAATATCAAAAGTTTTTTTTACTCTTTTCCCAACTGACAATAATAAGTTAAATGAGATAGATAATAATTTTTAATAAAGTATTATAATATGAGAAAGCATAAATCTCCTTATAAACTAATAAAATTTTAGCTATCATGAAGAATAAGAAAAATATAATAAATATTAATGAGGTTATACAATAAATTAAGTTAATAAATACAAGAAAAAAATAAAAAAAATTCAAAATTTACTATGTCATATTTTAAATCAAGATGAGGTGAAAAAATTATCGTATAATTTGAACAGGAGGGAGTACTATTTTATCCTCGAGTGATATAAACTAAGTTTCCTAACTTTTAAACGTCATTTATTATTAAACAAAAAGCAGCATTGGATTTGAAAGACCGGGAACTTAAAGACGATCACTGTGCTCATTAAATTGGAGTCGAAATTTTTTCAACAAATTAATTAGACAGGCAACAACCAAACCTCTGTAGTCTTTACAGAGAGGAATTTCATTAACTACACTGGGTTAATTCTAAGTGTTAGATATTTGTCAGAATCTTCAAAGATGGAACCTATTCTTGGGGATGTTACTCTCTGATCTGATGTGATCCCTCCCTCCGCCGAACGCCAGAAACTACACAGCCAGAGAAATTTATGCCTCCCCCTTTGTACTTCAATAAAGAACCTTCCAGGACCTGATTCATCAACCACAATACACACTGCTTTCACATCAAATTTAATGCCCTTTATTGTCGCCGTCCCTTGTGATTCCCGTTCTTCCCTTCTTTAATTTCCTCTCTGTTTTCTGCCTCAGGTATCTTGCTCTCAGAACAGAGTAAGAGTAGAGCCAGACTGATGTCAACATAATGCCCAGAATCTTACCCCAAAACACCGTAAGCATTAAGCTTAAGAGAAGCGTAAATATTCCGGAGCAGTTCAACTTGGTTCGCTTCTTCTCTAATGGGTCTCGGCGGCTTCTTTTTCTGGGTTTTGCTTCCGAGGGGCAAGACTCGGACTTGCGTAAAAACTTTGAGTCCGATGAAAACCAAGAGTCGGGGTTTATATCTTGAATACTACTGATCTCCAGTGACGCTTGGCTCAATATGGATCTGTCATCGCCGGTCGACGAGGTTTCCTCCGTGCATGTCGTCGAATAACTGCCCTCTGATTCAAAAGAATCCCGGCGGGAGCGGTTTTTGCGATGAGATCTTCGACTCTGTAAGCCAGACAAACATAACCGAATCAGACAAACGATCAAGCAAAGATTCTTTTTTTTTTTTTGGGGCAAAAAACACAGCAAGTAACAAAGCGAAATTACTAACCAGGATGGTTTCGAAGACCATGGCTTTGATGAGGCGAGAAAGCTTGCGTTTGGGGGGCAGGGAACTGTGTGGGTTATGGATTTCATCCTTATGGGGAGCAGAATCAGAGGAGAAACGACAAGCAGGGGAGGGATGAGAGGGAACGGGAGAGTCAAGCATGACGTCGAGATCGACGACAGGGCGAAAACAAAGGAAGAACTTGTTCTTGGAAGAGTTGGTCATGGCGGGGAAAGGAGTGAGAGAAAGAGTTGAGGGTATGGAAGGGGAGGGAAGCCAGGAAGGAGAGGGAGAGAGTGGTGATTGTGGTCGGAGAAGGCCGGCAAGCAAGTCCGTTTGAAGAGGAAGTGGCCATCTGTATTTATAGAATGTTTTGATTGTACGTGTGCCGCTTTCTCCCTTCTCCAATGGTCGCCCGCTTCTCGCTAGCCTTTTCCGTTGGCAAAATATTTTTTATTAAAAAGTTTTACTATTTTATTTCAAACAAATGGCATTTTTAATTACCCATCTCAATTTATAATCACATTTTTAAAAAAATATAAATGCAAATTTTAAAAATACACCCCATTTAATATAATTTTATTTTTAGAACATTAAATAAAAAGAAAAAAATAGAGCATGATACAGAGAGAAGGTTGATATTGAAATAAGGATAATTAATAAATATTATTTTTATCAAGAGTATCTTATAACTAGGTTAGAGGAAGCAAAATACACCCATAAAGAAAAATAGTTAGATCGTTGAGAATTTAAATTTTTTTCAACTTTACTCTTTTTCAATACTACCATTTAAATTTAGGATAAATGAGTAAATTATTTTTTAAAATTTAGATTTAATAGTATCATAGACTCTAAATTTGTTTATTATGTAAATTATTTTCTCAACTTTTAAAAACAATACAACTTAACACTTGTTATTGGCAAAATTAATCCTAACCATTAGTTGATTAGAAAATAATATCAAAATTTATGACTAAATTTTTTTATCATTTTCTGTAATTTTTTATTTTTTTATTATATTTTTAATCCTTTTTGTAATTTTAAGGTCATTTTCTTTTATTTTATGGTCAAATAATGATTTTATTAACGATAGAGATCAGATAGCAATATTGTCAAAAATTGAGAGAACAATTTTCTCAACAAATGAGTTCAGGATTTTATATACTACTAGACTTAAAATTTATAAAGTAATTTGCTTATTTATCCTAAAAATTATAAGTTATTTTTCTCGAAGTATCATTTTAAAAAATAGAATTGCGATGTAATTAATTAGGTTTTTCTATTTGAGCGACTTTATTATATTAAATAAAAATAAATATAAACTATTATAATTTTAAATGTTATTAACTAACTCATAACGTATTATTGAAAGTAAAGGGCAGACAGCTTGGCTAAGTTGCTGAATATAAAATGTCAAAATTCAAACCTTCAATCATTTACGAGAATTCTTACTATTTACATCAACTTGGCGGGTGATGCTTAATTTATTATTATTTTGCTTACATTGACACACATTAAATTTTGTTTTTGTTTCGGCCGGCATTACATTTTAGTTCACAACAAGCAGTTGAAGTTAAAATCTAGTAAGAGCGAGACTCTGTCTAAACCTTTGGAGAACTGCTTACTTATTGACACTCACCCACTTTTAACTACTCATACTCTTTGATGTAAAGACTGGGAGTTTCCCAAATTTAACGTTTTGCTGGATTTGTAAAATATGGGTTTTGGCCTCTTGGGTGTCCATAAAGGACAATCAAACACCCACTAAAACCTAAGATTGGGTTTTGAGTTTCTCTCTTCAACGTATGGATGGAATTGCTTGGTTTTTGATACATTTTAAATTGGTTGTTGATTTTTGACTGAAGTAAATATATGTTAAATATACAATTTTTTAAAAAATTTAAACATCTTTTTCAAAGCGTTATACAGAGTCTAAATGTGTGAGGTTTATTTGAGTGGCGAATTCTAAATATCATATATCTATTTTACTTTCAGAACAATAAAAAAGAATGTTGAGTAGTAGTTTGGGCATCCAAAATTTAAATAAAACTTAGTCTTGTTTGTTTAAGATTGAGATATTTATTTCTAATTAAATTGAAATATAATTTTTTATAAGTTATCTATTCAATAACAAACTCTTTTTGTTTTTTAGCAAAATTCTATAGCAAATTTTTATTATTAAGAGAAGATTGGCCCATTGGGTGCAATATAGTTGCTGCCCAAAAAATATAGACCAATTTTTTATATCTTTGATGCACATCTGTATATCATTGATAAACAGTTTTAATAATAAGATGTCAGCATAATTTACAAAATTTTTTATTATTGATATACAAGGATAAATATTAAATTGGTTAGGATACAAAATATAAGAAATATTGGGATATTATCTTGGTTTGGTTTTATGACATAAGTTATATTTACAAAAACCCCTTATTAATTAATATTATTATTACATTAAAATATAATTATTTTGATTTGATTATACAAAGATATATTGAGTATTTAAATCTAATACCCAAGTGTTCTCCTTAAAATTTAATATTGAATACTTTGAAAAGTTTTATTTATTAATTTTAAGAAAAATAATTTATAGAAAAAGTATTTAGAACTTTAAATCAAATTGTTAAGTGGGTGAAGGGAAAAAGGGAGCAACTTTGGAGACAGTCCGTGGGGGACAGGTAGCAAAAAAATCATGTAACTTGGAGTGTACCCTGATTGCTACTAGTATTGATAAGCAAGAGTGTTTTCTTTATCTTTATCTTTTTTTTTCCTTTTATATTTTTGTGGATAAGATAAAGATATCACAAGGATTCTGAATTGAATTAGTTGGTTGGTGGGGTTAGAACAGGTAGTTGGCAACAAATTTTATATGCATTCCATTTCATATCAACAAATTGAAATTTCCCTACATTTGATTAATCTAAGTTTATATAATAAATTATGGCAATATGTATAAATACTAATATATGCAGAAGTGGATTGACTGGCCGAATATTAAAATCGGAGGTATCACCAAGTGTTTTGCATCGATGGGATTTGGTTCTCTTCAAGATACATAGCACACTAACTTGGATTCAATTTACATTATATATTCTTGTAATTATTAGTAAATAAATAAATAAATCATGCACTTATATTGAGAAAATAATGACGAGAGACAATGTAATAATTTATTGAATTTCGATCTTTTGTACATTTCTTCTTTTTTATCTATTGTTTGAGAAAGATATTAAAATAGAATGCGTGGAGCTTGCTATTTAAGTAGAACTAGTATGGAACCAACCATTTATTGAGGTGAATATATATATATATATATATATATGTATGTATATATATATTACGCCTATTTTTTTGGGAAATGAATTAAAAAAATAAAAAAAATGAAAGTCATAATAGCTCAATACGATCTTTTACTATTATATATAATGCTGCAAAGCAAAACATCCATTTATTCATGAATTCAGACAGGAGCTTAACAGAAAGGCAATCCAGTTTCACAAACATATTTGATTTTTTGGCAGACTTATTTTATCAAAATTTCTCTTAAATTTCATTTCCGAATAAGTAACAATCAATAAATAAAAATTGTAGTAATATTGACTAAATTTAAATGGCCCAACTACTAATCAATAAATTTATTTTTCCTAAACATTTGCTGTCCAGTAAAGTAACTATATTTTTAGTTGAAAGAAAGCCATACACTCTAAAATCTTCTCTCATTTTGAATTGATCCAGTTTACTTGAAAATTTTTGGGAAGGAACTTATAGAACTCTCTCAACTTAAAAATATTTATCTTTTACTGAAAATAATAATTATCTTTCTATCGAGAGTATTTATTTCATATTATTTATTTAAAGATACTTTTTCTATTTTACTCTTAAAAGTATTAAAGTACTGTTTGCATATTAGTAAGGTATACTCCACACAAATAAGGGATAAATTTAGTAAATGATATCATATTTTTACATATTAAGTAAATTACATATATATATATATAATAACCTTTAATGATAAATATTTTAAAATGAAAGGAGTAGTATTTAAAAATTTAAATAAACTATTATTTGCAAGAAAAAGGGTAACTGCCCCTACAGGATGATGTGGCATGATGAGGCCCAAAGGTGCTTATGTGGTCCACTAGGGGACAGTGGTAACTACTGTATTGACCATCGTTACTTTCTTTGACTTTCTTTCGTTTGGGGCCAAATTTTCTTTTGACAAAAGTTTTGGGACCAAATTGACCCTCGTTATTGCCAACACGGATTGTTTGTTTCTTTTTAACCGGGGAAAGTGACAATTGAGGATCCTAAAGGTAATTAATTTCAATTAAAAATTATAAAATATTAAAATTCTAATTAAGAATCATGAACTTTATTTAAAATTAAAAAAATATATAAAATTTTATGAAAAAGTTTAAAATTAAAAAAATATATAAAATTTTATGAAAAAGTCCTATATTAAAAATTAAAATGTACACAAAACTGCTGAATTCACTGTTGTGACATGAAAATATTGTTAATATGAGTTGAGAAAATAAGAAACTATATTTAAGAATAAATTATTTTTTATTATGAAAGAAATTCATTTTTGAAACATTCTAAGGTCATTTATAAATGTATAAAAGTGATTCAGAAATTTACTAACTTCATTTATAAATATGAACTCAATAACTTGTCAAATTAAATCTCATGCTTGTTAATATATAGTTAGACCATTTAAAAAATAAAGAGATAACATTGTTGAAATCACTATTGTAACATATGAATATTGTTAATGTTGGATGAAAAAATAAGAAATCATGCTTGGGAATATATTATTTTTCAGTATGAAAAAAAAATACACTTTTAAAATGTTCTAAGGTCACCTACAAATATATAAAAGTAACTTTAAAATTTATTAAATTTATTTAGTGATTTTTTCCTTAGAGACATTTAAGACAGTTCATATTGTTTTAAATTCAAAGAAAGGTCTATGATTTTTAATTAAGATTTTAATATTTTGTGGTCCTCAATTAAAATTAATGATCTTAAAAGATTTTTAATTATCATTTTCCCTTTCAATCGCCACTGGAGTCCTGGTGCTTTTGGCTTCCCTTCACCAATGACAAAATTGATCTTATCTGATTACGCGTAATATATACCCTCTTTTCTCGTAGGACAGAAAACAATGTTTTTTATTTTTATTTTTTGGGACCTGGGGACAGAAAACAACGTTGATGGCTATCGTATAAAAAAAGACCCAGTCAGCACTACGTTTACTCTTTTTTGTATTTTTTGTTTTGCCAGAACAACACTAGGTTTATTCACAAAACACAA